CCTCTTTTTAGAGCCCCGTGGCTTTGTTCTTGTTGTGGTGGTAGAGACGGGGAGTTGGTTAGGTGGTCCCACCATTGCCTCCCTAACTCTGCTCTCTCATCCTAATGACCCTTTTTCCCACACCGCGTCATGCAGAGGGACTTCTGCTGCTTCCATGTGGGCTGAGAGCACCTGCAGCACCCCCTCCCCCGTGACACACACAAATCCTTGGATCACTGGAAAGGACTGGCTGGCAATCCCAAGTCATTCCTATAGAACTGGTCAAAGGCTGATCAGAATTACCTTAAGAAGGTGATTTACTTCTATTTATTCTCTAAATAAGAGCAAGGGAACTCTCTTCAGGGAATTTCTCTTCTAAAATAAATCTATATTCAAGTCTGACTGGATAGATTTTAAGTGAAATGAGTAGTACGTGCACAAAAGTCTCTGCTTGTCTGCTGCTGTAACCATTCTTTGTTGGACTGCTGAAGTACTACTAAGGAGCCCTGGTGTCACAATGGTTAAACGCTTGGCTACTAACCAAAAGGTTGGCAGTTTGAACCTGCCAGTGGCTCCACGGGAGAAACGACCTGGCGATCTGATCCTATAAAGATTACAGCCTAGGAAACACTGTGGGGCAGTTCTTCTCTGTCCTATATGGTCTTTAAGAGTCAGAATTGACTCAACAGCACCCAACAACATAACCATCCTTTACTGAATTGCTGAAGTACTGCTCCCAGCTTAGGGAACTTCCCAGGGAATACCTGAGAACCCAACATGTGCAAGGGTGTCTCAGTTTTCAAAGTTTTGAGGCGAAGTGGGTATTTTATGGATATTTAAGGTGTGAAAGGCAGGAGTGAAATGGGGAAAGAACACATTGTAATTCATAAAAGCAAAACAGAAACCTCAGTAATCAAAATAGTTGCTTTGCTCCTAAGGAAACCTCTCTTTTGTTAACTCAAAGGGCCTAATTTAGAAAACTTTGAGTGGAGTTTAAAGAACTTGTTTACAGCTAATCCTTCCCTGGGTTAAGACACTGCAGAAGGCTCAAAAAGCTTGCACAAAGCTGGCCTCTAAATGATCCTTCTGATTTAAAAGCTCTTAAATCATAATTGCTTAGCAGAGTGACTTTTATATGTACAGTTTCGTTTTTCCTGTACTAATCCACACAAGGGGCTGATTCTTTTAGCGAACAATTCCCTCAGGTGCCATCCAATTCTGGTTTCATTCAGGCCCATGGAGGAGACTCTGAGTGTTTCCAGACCTGAGCCTTGTGAAGGCGGCTTGTCCTTTATAACCCCACAGACAGGCCAGTACTTGGCGATCCCCACAGCTGCTCATAAGCTGTGCAGAGAGAGACAGGGCTTGGGAGACAAGGTGCAGGGACTCGTCCAAGGACGAGGAGCCCACACGGGTCCCCACCACCTTCCCTCAACACTGTCTGCTCTGGTCCGTAACTGTGGCACAGACACCTACTATAGCCACCTGATTTCTGCAGTTCAGAACCAGAGGCCACAGTGTGGTTTGTTTTTCTTCATCTTGGAAAGGCATCACCAGTGGCCAGGTATC